TGGAAGTCCTTTCGGGTCGTTCTGAGGAGTGAATTTGTTGTGTGTGTGTGTGTGTGTGTGTGTGTGGACAGAATTGTGTTAATGGTCTGGTAGGATATTATGTTAACCTTTTATCTACTGTTGATATAGTAGTTCCAAAACACCCCTTTCTTGACTTTATATTCACAGGTCACTGTGGTGTTCTAATTCACTTTACTAGTCATAAGTAATCTAGTTCACCTCCCTATAGTAGTGGAAGGAGAGATTACTTACCTTGTACAGTAACTGGAGTATTTTGGAGGATGTCCCTATAGATATTCCACCTCAGGTATGCGTGTGTCTTTGGGAGATTTTTTTTGTGGCAGTGTCTCTTTGGCATGTGCTCTAGACATCGTACCAAGGAGATACAGAACTGTTTGGGTGAAACACTCTTGGTTCCTTTTCTACCATAAAGTCCTGCAGAAGGAGGGTGGGTACTGGAGCAGCCATAGGGGGACCCATCTCTAAGAACTTAATGTACAAGGTAAGTAACCTCTCTTTCTTTGAGTAGTGTCCCTATTGGTGCTCCACTCAAGAGACTCCAGAGCAGCATTCCTGGAAAGAGGAGCAAGCTTCAGAGCTTGATTTAAAACTATAATAAGACTGCTGTGTCAACAGCAGCATCTGACTGCCTGGAGGTGTATACCAGAACAAAGTGTTTGGAAACTGTGTGAACTGATGCTCAAGCTGCAGCTTTGCCAATTTCTGCGACTGGTACGCTTTTCAACTATGTATGTGTCTCCCAGACAGTGGATGCACTGTGAATGTCATTATCTATCTTCAATAGATTCCAAGCATGTGGGGCAGTGCTTGAGTCCCATGGACCCTGGTATACCACACTGATGATAACCCCTGAGTAGAGTCTCTTGATGGGAGGCGGGCAGGGGGGAGAGAAGAGAAATGAGGTGTTTAATGGAGGAAAAAACCCTAAAACAAAATAGGGCTATAAAGTAAAAGGAAACCATGTCAACCTGAAGCAGGCATGCTAGATGCTCTGTTGCAGGACAGTTGAGAGGTAACGGGTGGTGGTTTGCCCTCTTGGGCACAGCTCTGTATCTCCTCTGTATGGGCATGAGGAAGTCTAGTGTACACCCA